GACATGGCGCATAAGGCTAGCTTTTCCTAAGGCCTTAAGGTTGTTTAGTTCACTAGACTTAAGGTTCAATTTACTTTCATGCATTTTCGAAAAATTCAAAAGCAGTTTTTTTCGACGCATTATTTCAGATTGCTAAAAGCTCGCGTGATTTTGTGTCGAATAGCAAAAGGAATCGAATAGTGCGAGCATTTTGCAATCTGAACTAATGCGTCGACTAAAACTGCTCTTGAATTTTTCGAAAAAGCATCAAAGTAAATTGAACCTTAAAGCGTACTAAATAAAAATCATTAGAAATCCCGCTGTGCGAATTGCCAGGACGGGATTTCATTTTCATTTTCATTACTTGGAATGGCACAACTCCAAGTAATTTTGCCAGTTCATCTTTGATCTGATCCAGGGATTCACCATTGGATACGCCTTTCAAATTTGTGTTGCTTCTCAGTAAGATACTGAAGAAGGCGTTTGAATCCGTCCATGCTTTCAGCCAATACACGGCGTTCATCCCGACGGCCAATTTGAAGTGAAAACTTGAATTTAACGAAGTTCAAAAGTTACGTGCGAAGAGCATGGAAATCGGAAGTGGTTATCACAATAAGGGGGACCTTTTTCTTCGTGGCATTAAGCCGGGAAAGTTTACTGGAATTTTGCCTGGATGATGGATCATTCTCATAATTCGTGGTCAAATAAATTTCATCAGAAGGGGGAACAAGCGATTGCCCTTTTCTTCTGCGTTTAGGCGCCATGGCGGCAGTAAAACGTTCATCCAAATCGACTTCCAAGCAGATTAAGATAAGAATCTGAAGGATCGAAGAGGAATTTTCCAAATCGATATCCAAACAGGATCACCTCGGGTAGGGTCCAAACAAGGATCGAAAGGGAGTAAGAGTCGAACAAGGTAGAAATTTACAGATATATTGAGCTAGCACTGAAAAGTGCTGTTTAAATTTGTTGTAGCTTTAGGTAGCAGTAACACTTCCTTCAGCAAAAATCAAATAGCTCCGCACGGCAAGAGAGCACGATGCGGACTCGTCGCATTGATGATTCACTTCGCTTATGTGTTAGTGTTCAAATACTTGCCAGAGAAGAGGTAAGAAGTAGAACTAATTACAGTTCGCTTTGTAAACCAAAAACTCATATTGATTGACTGTGTAAATGAAATACAAAACTGACTTCTCTGACGTTTGTGAATTGCACAAGTATTAGTGCAGAAATTTGGATAATTTCAAAGGTTTTCTTGCACTAATACTTATAATTTAACCAAAGTTCTGCACTAATAGTGTTAACTACCCCATTTCCGGCCTATTAAGCACAACCCGCATTTAGTCTTTCTTAATCTAGCGCAGTTTAGTACCAAACGCAATGTTATTATTACTGATAGCTTCCAAATTTATTTACCTTTCCGTACGTATCGTAAGAATTGATAAAGAGAAACCAATCGTTGAGATATTGTCAAAAGTCTAACGCTGCTTCTTGACGCCAAACTCGGCCTACGGATTCTAAACTCGGCCTAACGTATTGAAACGTCAATGAATTCTATTCGGCCTATCGGATGAAGATAAAATTTGATTCGGTCGGAGCGCTTCTTTTGTTTTTGGGAATAATGGGTGCAAACCTTCATATCACGCGTTCTCATTGACTTCGTTCGGTAGCTTATTAACTTAAGTGTCGTACGAAACGCATAATTGACTTGTTAACTCTGAAATCATGGATTTATTTGAAGTTTTCTGTTCGATAGGCCCAAAATGGGCGATTAGGCCGAAGTAGTTCTCTACCCTACTTGCACATTTCACAAACGTCAGAGAAGTCTATAGAAAATATAATGCTTGAAAACCACAAGAAAAAATATATTTGATTTTTTATTGGGGTTTGGTCATGATATATGGTTGCGTTAAAATCTTTTTTTTTAACTAGTTCGTTTATTTACTAGGCTCAGTCGCGTGTGACACTTTGCGGAGCCAAAAATCAAGTATTGGGTACCAATTACTCGAGGCGGGCTTGGGGTTAATGGGTAACAATTTCGATTGGAAGAAACTAGGTAGGAAACAGGTTTCTGAAGCTTCCTTATGATACTACTCTCGAACGGTTGACCAAATCCTGGCTGGGCAGGGGCAAGTAGCACAGAAACAGGAAGATAATAAGACTGGGACACAATGGCTGGAATTTTTTTGGAAAGAAGGGGATGGTCACATCAAACTCTAACAAACAAAGGAATTCGTAAATCGCCTGCATGTAGGGAAGATCACGGGTTCCCAATACATCTCTTACTTCACGGAAGGGTTGTCTACCTCGGGTCACTAGGGTATCCAACAGTCGTTCTCTGGAGGCGTCATTACCCGGGCAATATCAAGCTGCGTGCTCGATGTCATCATATCCGGTTCTGCACCTACAACGACGACGACGTTTATTCTGTAGAGATTGCGTCTAGCGAGTAGCGCTCTCGAAGAAACATTTAGAGTAATGGAACGTAACCACCGCCCAAGAGAGTTACTTGTCCAATCGTTTTGCCAACTTAAAAGATAGCTCTGACGTACTAATGGGAAAAATTCATCATGTGAAATTCTTCTATCATAAATCTCACCTTGTTGTGCGCCCACCTTTGCGAGAGAGTCTGTCTTCTCATTACCTGGGATTGAGCAATGTGAGGGGACCCATACAAAGGTAATCCTGTATGATCTTTCGACCAGCAAACTCATCTGCTCCCTTACCCAAGTAACAATTCAAGCTGAACAGTAAGAACAGAAGCTGATTATTGGTTGATCTAAGGTGTACAAAGCTGATTAACAGCAGGCTGAATACATAGTTGATTAGTAGTGCGTGAAGTTAATTGTTTCCCCATAATTCAAGCCCATAGTTAGCTGATCTAAAGATCGAACAAGCCTTAGCTTAACACTGCTCCACAAATCAGCAATGCACTACAACTATTTTGATAGGCTGATTTGTTAAATGTAGTCAGTGTCACTCGTTGCATTTCCGGCATTTTAGTTCTTCTAAATTCAATGCCTACCTTTTTAATCCCAAGCAGCGGCAGCAGTAGAGACAAGGTAGATGAGCTTTTTACGAATAGCTCCAGGTAGAAGTGGGCTGCGACGACGTCGGAAGTATTAACATTTGTTTTGACTGCTATACAGTTTTGGTCACGAACTGCTCATTTGCTTATAACTTTGCACACAGTTGACGGAACATAGTTCTTTTTGACCCAGTAGACAGAATAGAGTGTAAGCTTGTTATAGATATGTAAAAAAAAGTAGATTTTAACGCTAGTAGTAAACTGTATTTGTTTTTGCGTTGTAAAAATGAGGTGAGAAATGCTCACTACACATCTCGGAATTTAATTGTTACATTGATTAGTGTTGATTCAAATGTTAAGCTTTACCTAATCTTCGCATATCTATAGTAAACTATGAGTCTAATCTATCAATTACTTTAAAGAAAAATAAATTTCAACATCTGAGTGAAAAGTTATTACCAAATGACCAGTTGGCGTGTACAACTGTGCATGCCAAGCATGTCCACATGACCATCGAAATAAATCGCACACTTGTTGTTGTTTACAATTCTGCATTGCTGTATAATACTCTTCCGGTTGCTGTTATTCAACTTAAATTTGACGTATTTCAAGTTAATGATCATACCTTTTGCCACACATATGCTTGAGTGGTCCAGTAGGTATAATTGATGCCTGTGAATCAGCAACTGCCGGTTCGAATCCCGAAATGCATAGGTAATTTCTAGACTTATAATAACACTATAAATATCTAAATCCAATTAGTTAGTTAGCACCTTGTTGCAGTCCCATAAAATATATAAGATATGAAGCGGTCTTCAATTATTTTATTTTTTCTAAATAAAACCAGAAGGCTGAACAAGGGTTGGAAAAGACTGTTATGTAATGCCTTAAAAAGCTTATAATTTATATAACTGTTAAGCTTTTGGCTGATTAAAATCACCAGATTTAGATGTTTAAAAGCTGAACAAAGGTTAACGTGATATATATACAACAATTATTCAAACAAAGGCTGAATTAAAATCTATTGAACACCACTTGTTAAGTATCGAATTGCTACCTGGGTACATTTGAAAGGAAATAAGATGAGTGCCTAGCTTGTTTCATCGACCGAATAGCCTCAATCGAACTGAGACTAACCGAGATGATGAAGTTATGGTCTGTGGGCATGTCGGAAATCATCCCCAATGCGAAGTTGATTGTTGCTAGCTCAGTTTCCGAATGGCGGTTGAGTATTCATTGAAAACACCGATGCCAAAAAAAAAATATATATATAGGGGAATTGCCTCTAATGTTGGATTATGGATCTAAGTTTAGGCCTATCGATAAAAATCTACTATTTATCAATTTTATCTGGATGAACGCGTCATCGGGGCGGAACTAATGGATATTTTTAGTCGCTATTGAAAATTTAGTCGATTTCTGAATTTATGTATGGGCCCAAATTAGGGGCATTTAAGCCGACATTACATCCATTTCCCCTATATATTTGAATTTGTTAAAGATTTGTTACATTATTTTCTAGGTGATCAGCTTCCTGAACTTGATTATATCATAATCAGTTATCCATAACCAGGCTTGTTTTAATCTTGTTATTTTATTGTTATACCCTTCTGGTCGGGTAGTAGTAATATTTTCCAGACAATCCCTGTTTTTTTTTAATTCTCTCTGTATCTATAAACTGAAAAACAACTGTATAATTAAAAACAAAATAAACCACTTGAAAAATAACGAAGAAGATGGCTGCGATACGATACCAGATGGTAACCCTAATGATAAATAGCAATCATCTAATATCCACTCCATCATTGCGGAGAAAGTTTCTGCACCAAAGTATTGCAATAAAAATTCTAAAATTAGCTCAAATTGCTTGCTAAGACAGCGTTGCATCGGATCGTAACAAAATCCGTTTCGTTCCACCTGCTGCTTGCCCCCCCCTCATAATAGTCCTTGCTCTAACGGTTCTTTTTTTGTTTGTGTCTATTTCTGTCCACAGGTGTGCCGGTGCTTCCAATCGAGGAAATGTTTCGAATTATGAGTGGTCATCATCACCATCACCATCATCATCGTCGTAGTCGACATCAGCTAAACAATCGGCAGCAGCAGCAACAGCAATAAATCCGATGGGCTACCGCCAACAGCCATGTGCAACCAAGATGCCCCAATGGGAGCAGAAGCAATACTTGTACCGAGTATTAGTCCTACTGCACCGTACATATAGCACCATGTACTGGGATGTGAGTACAGAGCAGTGAAGACAACAAACAAAACAAACAAGAAACGAATCGAAACGGGGCTGGCACGTGAACCGCAGCTAAAAGGCGTGGAAATTCAACACCTTACCAAGCCCGGCCTCAGAGAAACCACAAGGAGCAGGAGAGCGCGGCGACAGGAAAAGAACTAAGGAAACAAGCCAGCACTTTCATCCCTACCCCCCCCCATCCCAACGGTATCGCGTCCTTGTCTTACCGGGCACAGAGAAGAAAGGAAAGCTTGAGCGCCATGTTGATAAAGGAGTATCGAATACCGCTGCCGCTGACGGTGGAGGAGTATCGAATAGCGCAGCTCTACATGATAGCGGTAAGTTTCTGTGGTGGTATTGGGACAGGGAGGAGGAAGGGGGGGAGGTGCTGCTTATGACGTCTTTTTCGGGAAAATGGTTCTTTTAGTCGTTGGCGTGTGTGGAACATTGCACGATGCTTGGGGTGTGATTAAATTGTACGTTACTAAGCGAGAATGAGGTGCGGGTCCTTTGATGATGACTTATGTGTAAAACTTTAAAATGCTTTTTACGGGATCTTTTGTGTACTGGTAGCAAGTCACTTTTTTAGGAACAAGTCTCTAAAGCACTCAGCAGTTTATATCGTAGTAAGTTTCGGGTGGTTGCTTTGAGATAAGGCAGTGACCAGCGTTAAAGCAGCCGAGAGCTTCGTTCTTCCAATTCCTTGAAGAATTGAATATTTGAATAATAATGAACACTCACTAACGATTTACTTACTTACTTATGTATTCTACACACCCCTAGTGGTGTGAAAGATTTCCATCCTGGACTGGGCGGCTGCCCGCTTTTGCCTTGACCTTGAGGTCAGATTGCTATAAATCGCAAACCTTTCCCCACATCCAGCATCCCAGTGATTTCTCGTGGAAGCGCAGAGGACTTCTCGGTTTCCGTCACAGCGAGTAACACGTCAACACATTCCTTCCCATTTCCTATTTGATCTGCATTCGGACACGGCCGGCGCTGGTATTGCTAAATATTAGATCTCCAGTTTTTACACATTGAGGATGAATGTTAGTCCCAAACATCATCTGTTGGTTCTCTGTGTAATTGCAGCTGATCTGGCAATGCAAGATCAACAACCGAGGGACTCTTGGAACTCGTTGACCTGCTCCTGAATCATGCGGAGTGTGACAGAATGGTCCACACAAGATCTTCCAGCACGGAATCCTGCCTGCTGCCGCCGGAGAGTCCCGTCGCTCTTCTCTTGTATTCAGGATAATTTTGCACAGAACTTTGAGAACAACACACAGTAACATGATGCCTCACCAGTTGTCGCACATAGTAAGATCCCCCTTCTTAGGAACCTTCACTAAGACGCCCTGCATCCAGTCGGCCGGAAAAGTCGCGGTGTCCCAGATATTACAGAATAGTTTATGCTAAATTTGTGCCGATAGCATTGGATCAGCTTGGGGCATCTCTGCTGATATGCGATCGACCCCGGGAGCCCTGTTGGATTTCATACTTCGGATAGCTCCTTCAATCTCCTGCACTGATGGGGCCCCGGAGTTGACGGCTTTCTCCCCTTCGTCAGCCAGGGAGTCTACCCACGCTCGCTTGTCCCGTCTTGAAGAGCGTTTGACTTCCTTCTCTAGAGCCGAATATCGTTGACGGACTTCATTCTTGGCTCCTTTGGTTTTCGCCCGCTCTACCGCAGCTTTTGCTTCTCTACGCTCGGTTTTTCAACGAAGGATCTTTTCACAGCTTGATCTTCCAGTCGGCGTGTGTTGAATCGCCGTCCGAGCCTCTCCTCCCTCCGCTGGATCCGTGCAATGCGTAGTCGGATCTCATCGATTAGAAGGTGATGGTCAGACGCGATGTCGGCGCTGCGTTTATTCCAAACATCAAGAAGGCTGCGTCTCCATTTTCGGCTGATGCACACGGCCATACAGAACAACTCAGCGACTGAATTCAATTGACTCAGAGCATTTTCTTTCCATACGAAATTTACTCATATTTGGAAAAACCTGTAGTTACTCATTAGCTATGAGTAACTGCAGGTTTTTCCAAGTATGGGTCAATTGAGTTCAGTCACTGAGTTGTTCTGGTTGGCCGTGCAGATGTTTTCGATTTGACACTGACTAATTGTATGTGTAGTGTTAAGTGTGACTGCTTTCTCACCCCAATGAGTCTGGGTTCAATCCCAGCCGAGGTCGGTGGGATTTTTCTGAGGCATACAAATATCTGGTCACGTCTTCTTTCGGGAGGGAAGTAAAGCCGTTGGTTCCGGGCCATGTGTGTTGATGAATGGGTGCGATATCCTACGTAGGTGTGGAAGCTGCCTTTCTAAACATTCGATTGCCGCCAATGGATGGCAATCGATGTCCGTCGGTGATTGGCACTAGATTGCGGAACAAAGACCGACGTTAAATTAAGAAGAAGAAGTGATGAAAGCGAAATTTTTCCAACGCTTGCAACCCGCAGGTGATTATTTAAGGCTTGGTGTCAAGATTGTAGTCATATCATCATTAAGTTTATCGAAGGTTTAATTCACTTGCAATTCTCCCCCCGAGTTTCCTTCGAATGCTGAATTTTGCTTTAAAATTCCCTGAAAACTACCTTGGAATTCTGGATTTCGCCGTAAATTCTCCTTACAATTTTCTTGAAATACTTCTCAAAATTACCTTTAACTTCTAGTCAAATGCCTTTGAAATTCTCCGCAGCTGAACTGAATCCTCTTAGAATTATTCCTCTACAATTCTCCTCAAACTTCAAAATTCTTTAGACAGTACTTCAAAGTGTGTTGCATACGACTTGTGCTTGTATGGAAAGCTTGGGTCGAATCGGCTAGCAAAATGAACACCACAACAAAGTACATAATCAACATAGGCAAACTTTTATTTCTGCATGTTCTGCCACATCATTATCTCCTACCTGTCTCTTATTCCCTGTCCTGGCCCCCTTTCATCGCACTGTTACGCAACCCCTCTTGACCTACTGTTCTTTTCCACTATAAATAATTTTCTTCAGGTGAGTACTCACACAATATCGACCGGGTGCACCCGAATCGCGGTTCCTCTTCTGTCATCGATGCGCCGACACAACACACCACCAAACTTCACGCCGATATCCTTTAGTTGACTAGGGTACGCTTCGTGGTCGTCAAACGTCTTACTTCCTTCGTGAACAGCCGTTCTCGGCATTCAACCAGGACGAGCTCTCCTCGATACGAACGGTGCGGGTGAAAGCGAGGGAAACCAGTGTGTGCCTGAGGCTGCGACTTCGATGAAACCGGATCTGGCCGGTGTGACTACCGGAACTACGCTCTCCGAGTTTCTGTCGGTCCTACCAGCAACGTCGATCGCGTGGAATGCCGGACGAACGTCCGTTTCCTGATGCCGAGTGTTGCTACCGTAGACGTCAGCTCTCACCAGCGGATTCTCTCGGCATGTACCGAACCACGTCCGCAGCGTAATGATCTGCTCTCACTGGATGAACTCGTTGTGTGGCTGGGCCCTCCTACGATCCTCTTCCACGCAGCGAACGGTGACGAATCAAGTCTGAAAACAAAAGCCCTGAGGCGCATTGCCATATTAGCCCCAGGTTGGCGGCCATCCCATTTCGTAACTTACTTCTTTTCGAAGGCTTTGGCTTTTCACGCAGCGACTCGCTGCGGTGCTGATCGTCAATGTCAAGGTCAAATCTCGACGTGGAAGCCAATCTGTGTGAGCGTCAAACACGTCATTAGTTTCAACGTTACATCAATATTGCTGTAACCACCTTACCGGTTATTCCAATGGTATACCAGTGATTGCCGAATGTCGGATTCCTCCGTGCTTGGCTCCTAGTAGTCGCAATCCTCGATGTGTGAACCGCTCGTTCCCAGTGCGTGTATGCGTGCAGTCTGTGTGGTGCAATGCTTTTACTCGTTGTGAAGCTACGAAGGCTTTCTGAAAATGTCCACGTTCTGGTACAGTTTGCACGATGGCGACGCTTGCCAGCTCGCGTTGATTTTCCGTAGGATGGCTTTTCCGACGGTTATGTTAGCTCAGTTCAACTGGAAGCTATAGTTCGCCCAACGAGTATCAAACGCACTACCGTTTACGACCGAAACTACAGCCCGCACAATTTGATCACCTCCGAAACTATCGCCCTAACGATGACGATGCGCGTTTATGCCGTCCGCAACTGCAGGGAACCACACAACTAACTGAACCGGATTTTTTTTCCACGCAAAATGTGCGCACTACTTGCACGGGTGTCTTTCTTCTTCTCGCTTGCTGTGGCTGGTCCGATCTCCTGCGAAGCCGTGTGTGTGTGCGTGTTCGGCGGAAGAGTTGTCAGCAGTCTCCATACTGTATGATGTTAGCAATATAATTTGCTTTGCTTGTCTGTTTTCAAGTGACGTGGCCCATGCAGCATCAATTTCATAGCTGCACGCTTCAATGCATTTACTCAACGTGTGACAAAGTTTGCTCTTTCTATCGGCAAAATAGTACTCAAAATTAATACGTAACAAGTGTTAAAATCCTAAAGTGTTGCCCAAATCCAAGAGTAAAGATTTTCTTTTTAAATCAGATATCTTCAAAATTACGCCAAAAATCTGAAATCTTGAAATGATCAATATTGTAAAAAACTGGCATAGCCGCTTTAAAATTTCCTCACATAATTTTCAAAATCCGAGGTCTGAAATCTCATTCCGTTGATCTCATTGTTTTCTACAAGAATTTCTAAGTTCAATTTTCTATTCCGTCTAATGACCGAATCTATGACAAAAGGTCGAATTGAACTTAGATGAAAAAATGGTCGAAGGGACAAAAGATCGAAAGAATAAAATATCGAAGCGATAAAAGGTCGAATTGAACGTGAGGAACAACAGGTCGAATGGACAAAAGTTCGAATTAAACTTAGGGGGCAAAAACTCGAATTGAACATAGATGGACAAAAGGTCAAATTTAACATAGAGGGACAAAACGTCGAAAGGACGAAGAGTCGAATGAACAGAAGGCCGAATTGAAATTAGAAGGACAAGAGAACGAATGGACAAAAGGTTGAATTTAACATAGAGGGACAAAAGGTCGAATGGACAATTGTTCGAATTGAACTCAGAGGAGTAAAAGGTCGAAGGCAAAAAGGTCGAATTGAACTTACAGGGACAAAGAAGTCGAATGGACAGAAGGTCGAATTGAAATAAGAAGAACAAAAGGTCGAATGAAAAAATGTTTGAAGTGAACTTATAGGGATAAAAGTTCGAATAGAACTTAGAGGGACAAAGAGTCGAATGGTCAAAAAGTCGAATTTAACTTAAAGGGACAAAATGTCGAATGAAAAAATGTTCGAATTGAACTTATAAGGATAAGAG